GCTTGCGGCGACTAGGTTGTACCAGGAACGATGGCCACAACGTCCCCCCCATGTGCAAATACAATCCTACAGTGCGTTCAGCGGCTGCGATACGGGTGTTATTCCTCGAGGAGAAGGACGTGGTAAGCAAGTGAACTTTAATGTTGAAGATGCAGTGTTGGAAAATCTTGACGAAGACCCCACAATTAGTACTCGACGACACGCACAGCAAATAGGAACCTCATCTCGTAGCGTACATCGCATCTTAAGGCGCCAGCTGTTGCACCCCTATCATCTGCAACCAGTTCAACAGATCTTATCCCCGGATTGTAATCAACGAATGCGTTTTTGCATATGGTTTTTACGGCAATGTGCCAATCAAGTAGACTTTCCTGCTTATGTTTGTGTAACAGATGAGGCGACATTTACCCGTGATGAAGTGAATTTCCATAATTTGCACATATGGGCAGATGAACATCCTCACGTGATTAGGGAAACTTCTTTTCAATATAGGTTGTCGATAAATGTTTGGGCTGGCATAATAGGCGATGTACTTGTGGGTCCCTATTTCTTTAAAGGATGACTACATTTTGGAGAACCGGTTGCCTGAATTATTGAACGATGTGGCATTACAAGTTCGGGCACGCATGTTTTATCTTCAAGATGGGGCTCCTCCACACAGTACTCGAGAAGTAACGACACTTTTGAATGAAATGTTTCCTCAGCGATCGATTGCTTTGGTCCTGTGTCTTGACCACGTCGGTCACCCGATCTAACTCCAATGGACTTTTATATTTGGAGTCACTTGAAGTCATTGTATTACAATATTCCAATTTGTACGGTGGAATAATTGCGAAACCGTATACTTGAAGCTGCTGACACAATTAGGGGAATTTCGAAAAATATTCGCCAAAATTGGGTGCGTTGGTGCCATGCCTGTATCCACGCTAATGGGGATCAATTTCAACATTTTCTCTAGAAATGGTACCTAAGTTTTATTTCATTTTGTTCCATATTTTAATGGAGTTTGTTTAGTGCAGGCAGTTGGCAACTACATATGCTTACGGATGTGGTTTTGTTTACGAACTCTTGCAGTAACAACAATGCATTTAAGATAGTAATTACTATTAATTATTATAATAAGAAAATATCAGTTTTTATTAATATCTATTTTTCTTAGTTTGTACTTTTGCATTGAAGAATTCCCCAAAAATTGAGTATCTAAGTATCTTTCCATTTTTCAACGACGATTTGTTTACGCGGCTCAGCGTACAGCACACGGACAGAACCGTTCCAGGGAAAATATTTTTATTCATAATTGAACTTTAATTTACGAAAAAGAAACACAAAAATAGAACTTTTTCGTATAAGACTTTTCTATTACAAATATCGTTAGGAAGCTGTAGTTTAATATTTATAGATCATACACGCCACACCCTGTATAAGTATATAGCAGGTTGCTCGCTGTCAGTTTGATTGCACTAAAGGCCTAGACATAAAGTAGTCGCGACCAAACATAGATGCAGCACTTTCTGAGTTATTAGTCCGCAGATTAATAATTGTTTGCTTCCTATAGCTTCAGTTAAAAATTCGGTAGTCGTAATTTACTGGCAATGAGTACAAACATTTGCTTAGCTAAGTAGTGTTAAAATATATACATTTTAGGTAACTTAGATAAAATATGTAACAACAAAATTTTCTTTGCTACGTTTCTGTAGAAGGGTCCTGTTAATTATTTTTTACTGATATATTTTTAATAATGTAATATAGGTAAGAAAAAATTTCAGAAACAACCTTAAAAATCCATATTTTTATATTTTTAAATAAATCTGGCAACACCGCATAATTTTTCAAAACTGTTATAGAATAGCCTCAAATTTTTGTAAAAGCGTATCATCAACGTCATGGCGTTGAGTGAAAAAAATTATAGTAATGGCCACGTGTTTATGAAGTAGAGCCCCATTAGTAGTTTATGAATCTCCATGACGATGATGATAAAATATTCATTTGTTTCAAACTGCTTGTCATTTTGAACTATTGTTAATCAGAGTTAATTGTTAACAGTTAGAGTGACACTTGTTTTAAAATCGTTATTCCAATGAAGAAACATATTATTGTTGCTGTTGTTATTATTATCTCTTTCGTAGTTTTTAGCATGTAGCTTTTCCAAACTTCCAAACATTCTCAAATTTGTAATAAATAATAAACAATATTTTTCATTTGGGGGTTGTCTTTTGTGATAATGTCCAATATAACTGTTTAAAGGCTTTTCTATTACATATTTTTAATAAAGCACTCCAGTATATCACATTTTTCTGCATTGGAATAACGTAATTTTTTCACTCAACGCCATGACATTAATGATACGCTTTTACAAAAATTTGAAGCTATTCTATAATAGTTTCGAAAAATTATGCGGCGTTGCCAGATTTATTAAAATTACTAAAATATTGGTTTTGAGGTTATTTTTTAAATGTTTTCTTAATTATATTTTATTATTAAGAAGCCAAAGAAATGCTTTACTTGATCAGCCTAATATTATAAGTAAATTCCGTATGGCGCCTGTAAGAAAAAAGAAAGTTGATGATGGTTTCTCGCAACTGAAACATCGCAATGAAAATATAAATATACAGTCAAATTCCACAAAAAATCTCGCCGTGAAATTGCGTTTTCAAATTTTAAAAATTCCTCTAAATAAAAAAGTTATAGACGATTTTCGAAAATGTTACATTTTTTTCAAAATAATTAAAAAACCTGAAGAACTAGGACCGGTGTGCAAGCGCCATGTAAGTTAGCAACAGAACTGTCTAAAACTTTCCCCAGTTAACCATTTTCTTATCTCTTATAGTTTACATTCATCACCATGCATCACCAAAATGATCCACACTGTATACATTCAAAGCTTGAGAAAGAAAACAAAGTTCAAAAGGAACAAAAATCATTTTCCTTATATTCAAGAATATTTATTATTAATTATAAATACAATTTCATATAATAACGTTTGCGAAAAAGCTCAATGTATTAATTCAATCAGTATAATCATTTGAAGAGAATACAAAATATTCAGTATTCATAATCTTTTTATGGATATTGGAAACCGCATTCAATATGAAAACTTCTAGAGAATAGTAGATAAAGTATACTTTTTGCCTAACTCTGCAAATATCTTGTAGCTAAGAAAATTAACAATTGATTATGAAAAAGAAAATTGGAAATCGAATTGCTGTTCGAAAGACAGGAACTGGCTGTTTCCAAAACAGAAGTCGAGAAGGACTTTCGAATTTATTTTTATTTAATTGAGTACTTCTGCTACACTGGAAGCAAATATATTTTTAAATTAAAAATTTCTTGCTTCAAAATGAGTGGTTGATTTTTCATATTATTTAGTTTTATTTCTCTGCGGATTGAAGCCCTGTTTAGCATTGAATCATTGAATTACACGCATAACCTATACGAAACAACTAAAACCATTCGTCAGATCAGATACCTATTGTTGTCTATTTTGCTGGTTATATCTCACCCATCGACAAAGTTTTTTGTCTTTTCTGGTTAAGCAAAGTTAATTTTATTAAATCAATGGTTTTATTTATCCTTTTGGTTCAAGAGATAAGAAATGTTTCTTACCGATATATTAGAAAGAACTATAGCAATTAAATAAAATAACAAAGTAAATGCCACAATTGTATGATTAGCTACATATCAATTTTAGGCTTCTGGAACTTATGTATATGAATATTTTTTGTCAACTAACTAACAAACTATGTTTGGATTAACAGTGCACTAATTGTTAAGTACTTGCATTGCATCGCTTGTACTTATCTGCGCATATTACTGGTTTGGAATTTCCTCTTATCACTAAGGTTTTAAAAATATGTAAATCTATATAAAACCGCCATAGCGACGGTAATAATGATAGTAACCAAAAAAATAATCTTAAGTGCGTCAGAAAAAACTTCTGGTTAGATAAAAAAAATAACTAAATAGCTGTATCTTTTTTCGTGGTTTCCATCTTCATTTAATAAATTTATCGGTTTGTCTAAATTAAGGTTAAACGACAATGTCTAAATAGAATGTAGATAACATTGAGTAGGCGAGCTCATCTAACCACTAAAAAATGTCCTTCAAAATTTGTGAATTTTTGAATTTGTATTAATGTATTTTTGGTACCTATACCGGGTGTCTGCGAAAGGTTGGGAAATCTCGAAGCTGGAGATACTGGTGCCAAAATAAGTCGATTGAGCCAAAATCCCTTATGCAAATGTTGTTGATTCCAAAGATACAGGGCGTTCAATGTTTGAATTTTATTTTGAAATTTCTCAGTAATTGTGAAAACTATCAGAGTATGAACAAAAAAATTAGCACTATTATGTTTCTTGACATGACAAATAAGAATTTTTAACTAATTTTGCGTTGCTTGTATAGAGGGTCAGTATGCCCTATTTCTTTGATAAATAGGGGAAAATTTTGTATTGAAAATAAAGTCCTCCGTTTAATAAAAAAGTTACTTTTGTTTGTTTTTGATATCTCCCTTCGTTATCGCGATATTCGCATAACACAAATATCAATGTACTTCGTTTTTAAGCAACTTTCAATCCTTAACAAAACCATTGTTGCGGTGATTGACTAATGAGTCATGATAATGTTTGTACAACTTGCGCTTCGAGGATTCCATCCATTGAAATATTCACCAATGAGAGATAGTTATTTGATGCGTTACTATCTCTGTTTGTATTTTCATTTTGTACTGGATTCATTAAGTTGTCATTGACCTTTTCACGAAATGTTAATACTATCTTTTGCGGTGTTACTTCCTGAATAGATTTTTTTAATAATTGTAACGGTTCCGGCGTACAGAAAAAATCCCATTTTAGCAATACTAGGACTCATAAAAACATCAACATTTTTTGGGTGTAACTTCTAAATAAAGAAGAAAAGAAAATCTTTTTAACCTGAAAATATTCCATTAAAAAAATTTCTATAGGAAATGAATCCACAGCTTTTAAGCGGTTCATTTTTTCCAGGTTAGACGAACACCTAATTTCCAAACACAACTACCGCAGGGATGAGTTTCGATGTGACTACTGTCCAAAATCTTACTCGCATCGCCCTTGCCTGATAAGACATAGAGCCATACAGCACGGAGAACATAGAAAATATCACTGTGAAAACTGTCCTAAGGTAAGAATGAAAATAATAATCTTAACCATGTACGAAAATAATTTTAATAAACGAAAACGAAGGAATAATCATAACCACGATGGATAAGATGATTACATAAGTGGATCAACCAGATTAGATCTTGACACTTTAAATACCATAGGCACGTAAAAAAACCCAAACTCAAGAGATATCATTTCCAAAGGAATTCAATACACTGAACATGATCATGTAGTCACAAATCATGACTTGCCTATGAATTTTAAGGAAATTTGAAATTTTTGGGTTAAACCGCCCAAATAGTGGGTTTTCCGAGAAAAATAGGTGTCAAGGGTAAATTTTTCTATTACATCAAGTTCAGCGCTTCAAAATACTACGAAAATTATACAGGGTGAGTAATTAGTAATGGTACACAGCTTAATGTCAGATTGTTAACGTCAAAATATAGCGATAAAATATTTAAACACAATATTAATGGAATAATATCACAACTAATAACTCGTATTAAAATAATAAAATTTGACATTATTATTATTACATTTCATTAATGCTTACATGCATCTAACTTATGGACAAGCACTCGGCAATTGTGTGGAGGCAAGAAAGAATTTATTCTGATACATTTCCAAATCACTTAAACGCAAGGCTGTTAAAAATTTGAAAGCTTTGCTTCTTCTTGTTTACTTCAGCAGATTTTCAAAATGGTCGCCTTCTTTACATTTCCTTATCCGACAGATGTTTTCTGGTTGTACTGGAAACAGTATTCCAAAATTGTCTCGAATTTCGTTGCAATGGTGTGTTATTTTTTCTATCAGGTTTTTCCTGGTGTGAGCTGGCGTCGAAAACACAAGCCCTTTTTAAATTTCCCCATAAAAAGAAATCCAGTGGAGTCATGTCGGAAGACTTCGATGGCTAAAAAATAGGCTCATCTTGACCTATATATTGATAACCAAAAGTATTTAATAAGTGCAAATTATGGCGATTCATTACTCCGTCTGGCTTCGTCCATGAACAAAACAATACTAATAAAATTTGTATTTTGCTTAAATCGTTGCAAAAACCAATTTGCGTAATAGATTCTTGCAGGATAGTCAGCGGGAGACATTTCATGTACCTTTTGGACGTGATAAGGATGTAGCAGTTGTTCTGGAAGAGTCTCATGAACGGTACACTTTGTCGCATGAACTTGGATCGACACTTTTCTTACACTATTGGAGGGATTTTCAGCAATCTCATCCATAATTTCCTCCTCGAACTGAAGGTTCCTTGCTTTTCTTGGAGTCTCTTGTCTACCACTATGCGGCAAGATACTTCTTAAAATGTATTAGCAAAAGATTAGCTACTTTTAGCATTTTTTTATTTCACTTGAATCTTTACCTCTTTCTCGTAAGCTACGATCAACCCTTTCAGAAATTGTTTAGTGCGGTAAACGTTGATTTGGAAATGTATCAGAATAAATTGTTTTTGCTTCAACACAATTGCCGAATGCTTATCCATAAATTAGATGCATTTCAGCATATTCGTTATAGGAATAATGCTCCATTATTTGATCTTGTGTACTCAATTAATCAAACAATTTTTACAAGTGTTGTCAATAACGACATAAAAACGACTAGTGTTTTATTGCAGAATTCTGATTTATTATTTCAATGACGTGATATACAAAAACGTAATTTTTTCAAAAACGGCTAGTTTTATCGAAACAAATGTAGAGTGCCTTTTTTAAAGAGGAATTACCAAAGTATTTAAAAATTCAGTTTTGAGCCCTATAAAGTAAACCTGTCAAAATTTGGGCCCAACGAGTGTGGTGGCAAGTCCGTTCCTGACTTCTCTGACAGTGTAAAACATCTACTGTAGTATGGCTTTATAAGCCTTTGTGGTCTACATAAAATTATAAAATTTTAAATAGGGGCACTTTAGGAATTTTTTTTTTATGACAAGCTAGGGTTATTCTGACCTCCCCTATACACTCCCGAAAATATGCCATATACTTACCAGACACCCAGTGTATCGAATTTTTGAAATTTATTTCATGTTTTGCCTTCTAGGTTTTTACCGATCCAAGCAATCTTCAAAGACACATTAGGACAAATCACGTTGGCGCACGTTCCCATGCTTGCCCAGAATGTGGAAAAACATTTGCCACGTCTTCTGGATTAAAGCAACACACTCATATCCACTCCTCTGTGAAACCTTTCCAATGTGAAGTTTGTTTTAAGGTAAATGTTATAGTATTAATAATTATTATTTCATCTGATACTTTTCTAATACTACTTAGAAACAGTCCTGGCATTGTATGAATGGTTAAGAAAATCATTTATGAAAACGAACTAGAAGCAATATATAATTACATCCGTTCTTATCTAATAATTCACCATTTATTAAGTGTATAGCAATTATTTTTCGCATCTCCGTTCTTCTATGATTCATGTTGGTAGGTCTCACTTATACATGACGCGCGCACAGGTTTAAAGGAAAAAAGTGTTTCGTAACAGTCCATTACTACTTATTGATAGCCAGCCAGTTCATTTATTTGTGCCACACGTGCAGGTCCTATTTGTTTTGTGTATCATTGTGCCTTGTGTAGTGCATTTATCCAAAGAAAAGAATTTCCATGAATCCAAGATAAATCACACGTAAGGGAATTATTATATTAATTATCAATTTCAGAAGATGAGAAGGTATTTCATTAAAATTTTTCTGTTAGCCGCCCTTGACTTGATAATACTAGCTCGTATACTATGGTAGACGCAGAGCAGAGTTTTTAGACTAATTGAAATGCAAATTCCACCTTAAGTGGATTGTCTAGCTGGTCATATTGTAGTTGTTTTTAATTGTTTTGAACGCGAACATTTGTTTGCAGAATATACGGTCGTTTTAACCGTCTTAGTAGGGCGTAGCCGCTTTGTTTTTTTGCCCGTATTCCATGCGACATGTAGAGAGTGGTTTTCACTCCGCTTAAATGGAAAGTCTAGCTAGCCATATTGTAGTTGTTTTAACTACCTTGCCCGCAAACTTTTTGTTTGCCAAATATTTGGGGCAGTACGGTCGTTTTGACCGTTTTAATAGGGCGTAGCCGCTTGGTTTTTTGCCCGCATTCCATGTGACATGTCGAGAGTGGTTTTCACTCCCTTGAATGGAAAGTCTAGCTAGTTATATCGTAGTTGTTTTAACTACTTTGCCCGCAAACTTTTTGTTTGCCAAATATTTGGGGCA